GGGGAGCCTGCAGCCCTGCCAGCCCCCCTGGCAGGGACGGGGAGGGGAGCCTGCAGCCCTGCCAGCTCCCCGGGCAGGGACCGGGCAGGGAGCCTGTAGCCCTGTGCCCAGTCTCCGGGCAGTCTCAGCTAACCCTCAGAGCCAGGCTGTTTAACTGTCCCTGTCAGCAGTCTGATGAGGCACGTCTTGGACCTGAAGCAGCTAAGGGTCAGCTCCTACCTACAGCAGTAAATCCCGGAACTAACGCTTGAAGGGGGAGCACACTCCTGAGCCAGAGCTGGCTGGCCCCCCACACCCAGCCCGGGCCCCTTTCTCCACACTGGTCCCTTCACTCGCTCATGAACCCCCACCCCCAATAAACCTCCAGCTCCAGAAAAGGAATTCAGATCCAGCTATTAATTTCTGGTGTGCTCTAATTTCAGAGGACATTTGCATTTTAACAACTAATAGATACTGTAAGCAAAAAAAAACTACGAATTGTTCAAGTTCAGACGTCAGCTGTGCGGTACGGGAAAAGGAGCTGGGCCCCAGGGTCAGCCCGTGGGTTCAACGCCGCCCAAGGGGAGCCGGGAGCTGGGGCACTTGTCCTGGCCTCCATTTCCTTGTCCGTCAAGGAAGATGGCATGAGGCGGCACGGGTGAAGAGCCTGGTGCGGCTGGAGGGAGACAAATCATCCTCGCCTCACTTCCGCTGCACGGATATCGCTGTATGGAGTCCCGGGGACTCGGACGGTCAGCTCCGGGGGTGGAAGGTGGGGGGACGACTCCACATCCCACCCTGTCCTATTTTCTCGCTTTGAATGTGTGAGGGTGTTACCCAGCCAAGAAATGCGATAAACGCATCTTGTTTTTTTTAAAGAACCTACTGTGTGCGCCCGGCTAACAGCAGGTAAACAGGAAGTGCAGTTGTTACTGGCGGGAGCGAGCAGGTAACGGTAACGTGCCCCAGAAGGACACGGCAGTTCACTCTCCATCGACGGTGTCTGGAGTGGCTGCTGTCCATCAGATGCCGTCCCTCAACTGCATGTCCCGGGCCCCTGGCTCACGGGCGGGGCCGCTGTGCCGGGTTTCAGGCCAGGCCGACTCTCCGTCGGGAGGAGCTCGTTCCCTGCGGGGATGACCCCGTCGGTGCATGCTACGCGTGCCCCAGGCTGTGCTCCGTCTTCGGACTCTGTCTACAGTGTCTCTCACTGTTCAGAGATGGGGAACGTTCACGCAGTCAGAGCTGACAGTTCTCTCTTCTTCCACAGCTTCTGAGTTTCCTGCGTGATTTAAGAAGGCTCGGCCTACGCCAAGGTTATGTAAACATTCTGTGAAGTCTTCTCACGCTCTACTGCTGCTCTGGGCACCACGGGGAAGGGACCGCATCTTCCTTAGGAGGACCTGAGAGCTCTCGGCTGTCAGGACGACCAAGCACTCACTCTTGAAACGCTCCGTGACCCAGACCAGGTCTGGAAAATGCAGACCCCTCCCGGGGCACTACCTCCCCTCCAGGCCTCACAGCCACCTTCCCGTCCACACGCATGGCCGCTCCGTGTGGCTGCCCCTCAGTGGATACGCGTGGTCAGCTCCGCGGCTCTCCCCAGGGACACTCATCTCAGCCGGACCCAGGACCCAGGCTGGGCCGGCTGCCCCCGTCATTCTCTGCCACGTGACTCTCTGAAATGCTGTCACGAAGTTCTTTAACGAAGGTAGAAAGGTGAAATTTTCCTCAAACGACTGAGTCACCACTCGGGTCCCGTCGTCTGACTGCATGTGCCAGGGGCCAGGCACGGGCTGGCTGGCATGGGGGTGCAGAAGGACAGCTCGGACGAGATCTACAGCGACCTTTGGGGCAGCTCTACAGGATTCAGACTTGGTGGGATTCGGACGTGGTGGGAGTGGGCATCCTCCGTGCCCTCCTCCCCAGGGTCCTGGGTTGTAACTCAGGGGAGCAGCTCCATTTCCATTTCAAGAATGACGACCTGACGAGCAGAGAAGGAGAGACGTGGGACAAGCCAACCCGAGGCCACCAGTGTCTGAGTGGCAGCCTGCTGTGACTCCAGCCCACTCCGGAAGGGCCACTGTCACGCCTCCTACTTCTGGTCACAGTGGCATTGAACTTGGGTCTTACTGGCCTCAGCCATCTGCTGAGTCCTCTGAAGCTCCAGGTTTGGTCTTGGTTGCTCCCCCTCGGCAGGGGCCTCTCCAGTCAAGACCCTTGTTCCCCGTCTCCTGGCCTGGGCAGGTGTGTCCAGCAGGTCCCTCAAGACACTGCTCACTCTGCTTCTGGCCGCATCTGTCTGAGGGTTGAGCTGCCCCTAGCAGCACAGGGGCCGGGGCCGGGGCCCCTGGAGGAGACGGCAGACGTGGATGCCGGGTCTCGGGCGACACAGAGCCTCGGGACACGACACCAAGCAGAAGGATGACACCAGTTTTACACGCTGTGCTTCCTTCCTCCATGGCCTCCCAAAGGACACCGATCACTATAGACATATGGGACATACGGACACAGCAGAGCAGAGGCAGCGGAACAAGGTATCCTAGGGCAGGGTTTGGGCCGTGGGTTCTCGAACACCAGAGACGGCCCTGTCCACGTGTGAGAACCAAAGCCACCCTGGGACCCTTCCCACAAATCTCGGGGACAGCAACAAGGACTCCGAAAACCAAACGCACACTGGCGTGACCTCACATGGGTCACGGGACCGTCATTCGGTTGGTCAGGAGGGACCCCGGGCTGGAGTCCCGGCCCCACGTGGGTCTGAGGCTCCCACAACCCAGCATCCCGACTCCATTAATCACAGCTCTGCTGACAGGCGGGCACGGTGGGCACCAGGAACATGAGGCCCACGACCCCTCCCATGCCCCGCAAGGGAGGCCCCGCTGGCTCTCCAGCAAACCTTGTGACCCCCGAGGTCATGGGGCCACCACCGCCAAGACAGTCAGCTTCCCAGGTACACGACAGCGCAAGAATTAGGAGCAAATAACAAAAAAGCAATTTTTAAGACAAACGTATACCTGACAGTTGTTTCTTGCTTCAAAGTCGCTGCTTCCTGATCTTTTCTCTTGATTTAATTTCCGGTCACTCTCTTGGAGCAGGTAACAAACCAGCCACTCATATGCTGCCAGGGGGACTTCAGGACGAGAGAAAACACAGAACACAAAGTAACAATAGTGCATCTGACAGTCACACTTACCCGGGGACAGATGGCTTCGTGAGCATCTTGCACGTACAAGGAATCTTCACAACGAGCTTGTGAGGCGGGGCCAGTTTACAGACAGGGAAACTGAGGTACAGGGCGGGGGACTGCCCAAGACCGCACGGCAGGCGGCGGCCAGGCTGGGACAGGCACAGGTGAGGGTGCTTCCTGGCTCTGCTGTGATGCCGTGCCGAGTTCCACTCTATTCTAGCAACCATGGAGGCTGTAGGGACACAGAGCCATCTTTCGGGCGAGCCCCTCATTGTGACAGCTGCACGTTCTACTGGTGCTCACGTCTCAGTCTGGATGAAATGGGGGCGCAGCCCCTCAGTCACCGGGGATTTGCATGGACAGCAGGACAACTTTACAGTGGATGGCGGGCAAGTGGTGAGAAGAAGGGGCACCCGTCCACTGGGCCGGCCCACCTTGACCTTCCTGCTGTGGATGGGCTGCTGAGCTGGGAGCTCACACCGGCTCTCTCCAGGGCTCACTACATGCCCGTCCCTCCCAAGGAGATCCGAGGTGATGTGGGGACAAGAAGAAGCTGCAGAGAGGGAAGCGCCACGACAAGGACGTAGACGGGGCAGGCTGGAAGGCAGACCCACTGGGAGAGACTGGAAGGCGCATGGCCCCCTCGTTCCCCTGTCCCTGGCACTGTGCCCACACCTGTGGCTCCTCGTCACATCTCGGCTGGTTCCGAGAACTTGGCAATCCTCAGAAAACTCTGCCAAGCAGGGCTGTTGCCACCCCTTCCCACGAGGACACAGGGCACAAGGAGGCACCTGGGGCACGAGATGAGTGAGCAGGAGGGGTCTGACCTGGCCATGTGGCTCTGAGGCCATGCCTCCACCCCCGCCCAGGCACAGAGGGCCCACATGCTGCAGGGGAGCCCCTCCGCGTGGCAGCTGCTCTTGGCTCAGAGCTCCCGGGAGGGACGGGGGATCTGGCAGCGCTGGCTCTGGACCCGAGACCTGGACAAAGTGGGTCTTGGGATGTCCTTCTGTCACACAGCCCATCCCCTGGGGAAACACATGCAGCACTGGCTGGGGTCCCGCCACAGACACCCGACGGTTTCACAGCTGTTACACCGGTTAATCCTCAGCACGACTGAGACGCCAACAAAGAGCAAACAAACCGTCTCACCAGGCTGAGGAAACCAAGGTTCAGAGACTGCAAGCAGCCTGCCTGAGCTCACACAGCCACCGACAGGGAGAGCTTGGAGGGAGACGCAGCTTTCTCTGCCACCCCGGGCAGCGGAGGCCTGAAGCGCCCTCCACACAGCTGTTCCCAGAGCCCAGTGAGGCAGATGGAGACGGGACTGGAGTGAGGCACCCCGCCCAGCATCCTGCCAGGTGTGGTGCTTGAATGGGGGCCCCAAAAGGACATGGCCCCCTCCTGACCCCTAGAACCTGTGAATGTGTCCTTACTTGGGAAGATGTAATTCATTAAGGATCTCAAGATGAGATCATCCTGGAGTAGGGTGGGCCTGGAATCCAATGAGTCTCCCTATTCGAGGCAGAAGAGAAGACAGAGACACAGGCAGGAGACCATGTGACAGTGAGACAGAGACTGGGGTGATGCACCCATAAGCCCAGACACCTGGAACCACAAGGAGCTGGAAGAGGCAGGAAGGACCCTCCCCTAGAGCCTCAGAGGGAGGCACCTCTGCCCACACCTCGATTTCGGGCTTCTGTCCAGAACTGTGAGCAAGTACGTCTCTGCTGTTCTCGGCACCCAGTGTGTGCCCCAGGACACTGACCTGCCAGGGAGCCCAGGGTGCTCTCCTGAGCCTTAGATGTGGCCCTGCAGACCATCCCTGGAAACCAAGGCTGAGGCCACAGAGCCCGTTCTGAGGACAGCTGCTCTGGGGTCTTTGAGACACTGCCGCTTCCCCAGCTCTTCCCAGCAGGACGGGTTGTCACCAACAGAGGAAGGTGGGCGTTGCAGACTCACACTTTCCATGATCTATTTACACAGCAACAAACCCCAGGAAGCAGCCAGGGCCAGAACCCGCGGGTGCTAATTCCTTACCCACGCCGGAGGCTCCTGCTGTCTGACCACGCGTCACCGCGGCTGCTGTCCCCCGAGGCCCGCCCAGACACTCCCACATGCTGCCCTAGAAGGTGTCCCTCTGCGTGGACACGCCACTGCAGAAGTCACCCAGATTCTCCGAGCAGTTTCCACAGCAGAGGCGACCGCCGTGCTCAACATCAGTGGCCAGTTCAGAGTCTCCTTTATGCTTCAAACGGAAAGCAAGCTTGATGCGTGAGCTGTTTGAACATTTTTAGAAACTCCACTTCTAGCTCTTAATTTTTTACAAAAGAGTACATCACGTTGCTTCAACATGTTCACACAGAAGGGAGAAGAGGCCCCAGTGAGCGTATGAAAGCACACTAATAACGGGAGGGGCGCTGTGTGGACGATTCCTGGAACCCACTGGAAGTGAGACACCGCCAGTGGACAAAGCTGGGTGGGAAGCTGGGTGGGAAGCTGGCGCCGTCCGGCAGTGGCACTCCTGCTCTGGGCAGGGGGGGAGAGGGGGCTGCTACGGGCCCGAGGACAAACACACTGCTCAACAACCTCTGTCCCCGAGACCTTCCTGGGGCCCGGGTCACCTCAGCCTTTGATGTGCCACCCACGGGGACTCCTCGTGCTCCCCCAACTGTCCCCTCTGCACCCTCGACGGCCCCTCAGCCCACAGCTGGCCCTGGGGGCTGCCTGCCCGCCCCACCATGCCGGCACTTCCCCACATGTGGCCTCTTCCCACCCACACACACTCCCCACAGCCGTCACTGTCACTACCCTCCAGTCACTCCCAGGTCTGCGGCTCCTGCCCAGCTCTTCATCCAGGGGCTCTGGTCATGGCCACTGGGCACTCGACTCAACGTGACCCCTGAACTTCCAGCACCACCACACCCCCTAAGTGGGAAGGCAGCCGGGATTCACGCTCACCTGGCCCCCATCCAATGTGCCACCTCTGACTGTCTCCCCTGCCCTCCCACCCTCTCTTCTCTTGCGCGGCCCCCCTCTCCTGGCTGATCTCCCGAGTCCAGTCCGGCTCTGTGTCAGCACCACAGCACGCCTTCTAAAGGGGGCTCTGACCCGGTGCGCCCCGGATAGCAAGGCTTGGACAACTGACCCAGGTCCTGGCTAGCACACAGCTTCAGGTCTGGGCGCCACCCGCTCTCTGTCCCTGCCCACACCCCCTACCACACCCTGGCTCCCGTAGGGCTGATGCTCCCCAAACGCGCTCCTCTGAAACTCCAGGGCCCATCTCATGCGCCAACTTTCTGGGAAACAGCTAAGCTCGCCCTGCAGAGCTCACTCTGCATCTGTTGTGCGAGAGGGAGCGCTCAGAACAGCGCCCCCCCTCCATGGCAGCCAGCCCCCAGCGAGGGCGCACCACGGGCCAGGCTCCTACCAGGCATGGCACGGGGATAAGTGTGTGCCCTCCCCAGTATGTTACAAGGGAAACTGAGGCTCAGAGAGGTTAAGGACCTAGCCCAAGTCACACCACTGGGGGCAGCACTGACTCAGGGCCTGAGCTCCGGGCCCTGGGAGCACTGACCGCACCAAAGGACCCACCAGACACACATGTGATGGGACCCCACCCCTGTATCTACACGGCTGTCAGAGCAGCAAACACGCTGAGCTGTAATTACCTAATGTTCTTGCAAACGAGCCAACGAGAGAAAAGAAATGGGCCTCACGTCGCCAGGTGACAGTGCGGGTCCTCAAGTGCGCAGGGCCGTCTGTTCAACCATCCTCAGTGCCCACGCTGCGCAGGAACCAGGGGACCTGGACAGAGCGCATGCCTGCCCCCTCTCCTGACCTGCCAAATGGGCTACGCTCAGTACTGGAAAGGCCGTGCCCTCAGTCCTACAGAGCCTGCGGCCGTCAGTCATTTACGTAACTTGTACCAAAGATCCGGCGGAGACGAAGGCTGTGGAGCCAGTCCGGGATCTGGGATTCGAGGATCCAGTGCCCTGGAGACAAGGCCTGGCTGTGGCTGCGGGCTCCCTTCTCTGTGAGGAGAATTACATCAGTATCCAAAGCCGAGCCACTTTCACCAAATGAGCTTTAGTTGCATTCTTTCTTCCAGAAAATGCTTTCACTTTATTGGATCTTGCAAAAATTAGGGCACTCATAGGAAAAACACTGCCCGGCGTTTTTCCGATGCCGGTATAGAGAAGGCTTCTGCTTTCTCGGTGTCAGTGAGAGTGCAGAACACAAGAAGCTGGCGCCCCACTTGCAACTTTCTGATTTTACAACAGGCCATGGTTTTAGGGAAAAAATTCTGGTTCGGTTGATGTTCTTAGAATGATTAGGTCATTTTCTAGTGCTTTCTGCAGCAACATTTGGGGAGCTCTCCCACCATCAGACATAGAGCTTCAAGGTGCCCCTGTTTCCCGTCAGCACTTTGAAAAGGCAGGTGGGGAACTGTGAGAAGGGTCGTCATTGCCAGAAAAAGTGTAACAAAGTGCGGTGATCAATGAGAAACAAAGCAATTACTAGCAGAAATGTTTTCTGGCTGATCAAGACGACGATGACGGAGGAAAGGTGGGCTGGGAAGGCAGCCCACCCTGGGTTCCACTCCTGCTCCGGCTGCTGGGGTGGACTGGGGTGGACTGGGTGGGTCCTGCGCGCTCTCTGCCTCAGTCTGCTCTCCGGAAGATGTGAGCAGCAGACGCAGCCCTGCTCAGCACGTGCAGAGCGCCTGCACCTGCTGAGGCCGTGATGCCACGTGTCCTCTGTCCTTTGAGTGAGGGTGGGCGGTGGCTCCTTTACCCAGAGGACCCAGCGGCCCCCAGTCCCCAGGGGAGATTCACACTCGGGTCTCCTCCCCACCGAAGGCTCTCTGCTAACAGGGTCAGTGGAACATCCGGCATCTGACAGTGATTTCTGTGACGGAAACCAGAACCACACGTGGTTGTGTGTTTAAGACAGCCGTCAACAATTACCAGGTGCTTACATGGTGCCCAGCCCGTGCAAGCACATCACATGCACCAGCTCATCCATCCTCATGAGAGCCCAGCGAGGCAGGCATGTCATCACCTCGAGGGGGCAGACGAGGACGCCGAGCAAGAGGTGAGGCACCTGCCCTGAGTCCCAGGGCTGCTGGATGGAGGGGCCAGGAGCAGAGCCGGCAGCCTAGGGGGGCCCAATGCCTCGCTCTTGTGGCAGGTGGGCTGCCTTTCCAGTGTCTTGAGTGTCTGACCAGAAGGGTCAGCCTCTGCTCCGCCTGCCAGGGCGCGAGCTCCATGATTCCAAGGCCCCAGAGTAAGTCCCTGAGACGACTGGAAACAGACGTTTTGGGTGGCAAAGGAAAGCATGCTCAGCACTTACTAACGGATGAGCTGGTAACACTATTAGTGACGTTTCCACTGGGGCTTAAAGCTGACGTGGGATTTGACAAAGAAGAACATGGGACCGTGTGGAGGAAGGCACTTCTTTCAGAAGCCACCAGCACTGGGGGTAGGTGAGGGGCATGGAGTTGAGGGCAGAAGTTCCAACCCTGTTCTTTCTGTGAAGTCTCATCCTGACCACTCATCAGGAAGCTTCTGGGAGCTGTAGTGGAGGATCCCGAGCTTTGGAGTGCAAGAGGCTCGCATCCAAACCTGGGCTCTGTGTGTCCACCTTGGACAACCCACTGGACCTCCCAGAGCCTGGGCCGCCAGAACCCAGGGAGCATTTCGTGTGCCCCCCCGTAAGCACACTCAGGGGGGTGGATGCCCCGGAACACAGCCCCTGGAGATGGGGATGGGGACGCAGACAGGGATGCAGCAGCCACTCCGTCCCTGTCCTGACGGCTCTAATCCATCCCTCTCCATGGCCACCACCACCATCCTGCCCAGGCTCTGATCTATCCCCTCTCCATGGCCACCACTGTCCTGCCCAGGCTCTGATCTGTCCCCTCTCCATGGCCACCACCACCACCCTGCCCAGGCTCTGATCTGTCCCCTCTCCATGGCCACCATTGTCCTGCCCAGGCTCTGATCTGTCCCCTCTCCATGGCCACCACTGTCCTGTCCAAGCTCTGATCTGTCTCCTCTCCATGGCCACCACTGTCCTGCCCAGGCTCTGATCTGTCCC